GACGGGCCTATGAAGACAACAAACAATATTGTTGACATTGAGAGTTTTAGGTCTTATAATTAAAATATTGAGACAACAAACAATATTGTTCACCCATAAGATTTTGCTGATAGTTTACAATGAGTTGTTATAATTAAAATCGGAAGTAGTACTATATTTGTAATGATTCTGATTCTTGTTGATGAAATTAATGACCAAATTAAACTGTGTGGCCAAAATTAACTACAAAATTTAGTATCTCCATGACGTATAACACTGCATTTCTAGCGATATAAAATTCTGTAATAATTTTTGTCGAATAAATTTTTAGCAAAACATTTTGCTGTTAATTCAAAAATTGTAGGGACAAAAATTGGGAACCAAATTTTCCATTTCAAATTTCTATTGCAAGGAAAATAAGAAATACAAAAACCGATAAAAAAATACTTGTTAAATTTTAAAATGATATAAATAGATAATTTTGACAGAATTTGCATGTCAAAATTTTTACAAGAATAATCAAAATCTTTACAAGAATAGTCAATATCACCTCTTTGTCATTTTAAAATTTAGCATGTATTTTTTATCAGTTTTTTTTAAAAAAATCGAAGTTATTTTGTTTTATTAGTTCTTGGAAACATATTACTGTTTTTTTTCATCTAATTACAAATATTTACCAAATTTTTTTTTCTTGTTTTAGATATTATGAGCCTGTCTTTTTTTTAATTCTTTTAGACTTTGTTTAAATTGACTAAATATGACTGGTTGGTTTTTTTTTAATATAATCGTTTTATTTTTGTTCACTAAAATTGTCTTTCATAAAAAAACCTAACCATTTGATTTTAATTCGGCGTGGATATTTGAAAGTGGAAGACATGAATGCATAAAAATCTCCCTGATTTAGGAGCTACTTATCACATGATAGAATCAGTATGTACGATTTATGGCCTGGCCTGATAATAATGGGCGTGTGGTCAAATCTAACAGGTGCACATAATGCGAGCACTAGAGAGTTCGATTGTGAGAACAGTACTTTGGGTAGACGAGCATCACAATTGTTGTTGGTTCGCTTACGGAGTCGGGGTTGTGCCTTCGTTGAATTAGCAACCACGTTCTGATGACACCACGTTATGATCATACTTCTGATTTGCGCGCGCTCACACGTATATATTTACGACTTTTCACCATCAATTTTATATCATAAAAATCTAATTCATATAAATTTTTTTAGGATTGATATTATTTTTAGTTTTTAAAACTTGACCTCAATGTAGTTATGGTTTCTGAAAATAGTAACCAATAGTTTTGATTCCTGAAATTTGATTTCATTTTAAAATTTGCAGGGATGTTTTATTTCCAGAACAATTTTTTCCTGTTATTTAAACAATACTTCAGAGATACAAACTATTAGGTTCAAATTTTAGAGATTAAAAACAGAATAAGATAAAATTTCAAGTGCTCAAAAAGGCCTTTGCTGACCCTTACTAAACCTATGGAGTTCTCCTCTTGTTTCAATTGGAATAAAATGGTGAAAGTGCAGCTTGGCCTTTATATATTCTTAATTATTACCTCCAACCTTAACTATAAGATTTTGTTTGTAGTTTACAAACGAAATTTATAGATAAATTCTTATAATCAGGATCAAAGAGATAGTATTTGCTTAAATAATCACCAGCTCTGTTGACTGATTGTCAGATCAAAGATGGAGTTCGATTATCCCAAGACAAGGTTAAGAATGCGAATTGCAAATAAAAACAATTAAACTTACCGCCCGCAGGAAATATCTATCTGCTATCAGAGACAGTAAGCCCATGAAGTCCTATCATATCAGTTAAAGGAAACTTGCGCTTCTTGCTGCAACCAATGGGAAAATAGCTGCTGGTAAATGGGTTGCTGGATTTACTCATTGGCTTTTGCAACGCTAATGAGGTGATGTCAAACCAAAAAAAAAAAAACACTTCCAAATAGTTACAATTCCCTCACGAATATTTTGCGTAAAAATAACCATTAACACTTTAAATTTCTTTTCCTCAATCATTTCTTTTTTAAGAATCTGTAGTCAATTTTTTACCCATAAATGTTAAAAAATAACCGTAATCTTAGCTAGTTCGTGGGAGTCATACCTGATGTTCCTCAAGCGATGGAGGTGACATTTCTTTTCCTCTGTGAATGGGTCCAATGGTGACAAGTTTCCGGGAGTAAGCTTGGTCGTTGGGTTTTCGAAGTTGAGTGGGGACGCTGGGAATGCTGCTTATGAATGATTGAACACCCCTGTGATCAGGAGAACCCGGTGTGACCTTGATAGAATGCACCCGAGCACATTCATTTGGGCTTTCGTGTCCCATTGCCTGAAACAAATCTTGGGAAGTGAAGCTAGAGCAATCAGCGAAGATGAAAGGAAGCTCGCTCACCGTCGAATGTGAGATGTGAGATTGTGAAACAACAGCTTTGAGAGAAAACAGAGGGGAGAGTAGTGCTATCTGTTATTAATGAAGTGCCTGGATTAGTCTTTAAAAGTGAGATAATTGCTCGTGAGAGTTGCCAAGCACTCTCAAAATTAGTGGCAAAATTGTCAGAGAAGAGATTTTGACGACGGAGAAGAGTCCAAAGAATTTCTTTACTTGCTGCTTGCTTCTTTTTTTTCTTTTTTCTTTTCCCGGGTGATAATCTTTTACTGGGTACTTGCTCTGCTTCGGCTTTGCTCTTTCTCAGGATTTCTTGTCCCGGCTGGATCCCACTGGACATTAGGAGGTAACCAAATCATGATTTTAACAGTATTTTTATAGTATAAGAAGTAAATATATGAAAAAAGTTTTCTTGTTTTTATAGTAGCGTGAGATCAGTGAGAAGAAGCAACGTGGTTTTGGAGCAGATGCTCTAGGAATAAGCAACCATCAAGTAAATAAGGGAATTGTATTTTCTATTTTCTGGCAACCATCAACCAGATTCTGGCAAGCTCCTCTGCTGTCATTTCTATTTTCTCCCCCTAGCTCGCTCGAAGTATGCTCTCTATGCCTTTGATAAATTCCCATAGGTACACATAAAGAAAGAAATAAATATTTAGAATAATGAGGACAGAGGAGCCTGTGTATACGGAGCACGTGGCCACCTTTATGGTGGGTGAAAAAATAAAACAAAACGACCCCACTATCATCAATTATGCATCCACCACCGTCCTCTCATAGCTCAATAATCGTGCGGCGTTTTGCCTATGGAGGCGACATCATCTCGGTGATATAGGCAGCATACTCACCGCAATAACGTAAATAAGGGATCTGAGGAGCCAACCATGCAAAAATAAATATTTAGGCAATAAGGACTTTTGTAAATCTATCTTTATAAAAATATGAAAATTAAGTTCTTTTTATTATTAATATCATATAATTGCTTTTATTATAATTTCATAACAACTTCTGCAAATATACCTAAATGTCATTAAAAAAATTCCTAAAATTACATAATAAAATAGGAATTATCAATAATAGACAATAGGTATGTGAATTTCTTTCATTAAATAAAGAATAACAAAATTTGGCCAAAAGAATAAAGAATAACAAGACAAATAAAATTTAGGATATAATACACAAAACCTGCTAAATTTTAAATCAGTTAAATATAATCCTCTAACATTTCAATACTTAAATTTAATTATTTGCTAAAGTTAAATGAAAAGAGAAAATTTAATACGTAAACATTCATTAATTGGGTTTTATTTGGGATTGATTTTAACCTTAGTGTGAGCTTCAGCTCTACTTTGGTGTGAGTTTTTTTTTGTTGACTATATATCATGAGATTGGTGTTGCAGGACGTGTTGCTGCAGATGTTTTAAATTTTTTTAATTTTACTGGTTGCTGCTTTACATGTTCTTTTCATGTTTTAGATGTTTTGGGCCGACATTTTTCTTTTGATTTATTTGGACTTTGCTTAAATTAACCGGCTCTTGATATAATAATAGTTTTATTTATGCTGAATAAAATTTTCTTTTATAAAAAATAACTATTTGATTTTTATTAGCCGCAGTTATTTAAAAAGGGAAGACATGAATGCATAAAAATCTCCCCGATTTAGGAGCTACTAGTTATCAGTACCACGGGATAGAATCAATATGTGCGATTTATAGCCTGATAGCCCGAAAGTAGATGAGCATCAAGAAGCAAATTGTGCTTTTGATTCGCTTACTGTGCTTTCGTTGAATTTGGAACCACGTTCTGATACTACGATAAAGATAAGAGTGGTTCGGAGGATGTGCGACCTTATTTTACTTCTGATGGACACACGCGCACACAACTTTTCAGCATCAATTCTGTATCATAAAAATATAATTCATATAAATCTTTTCAGGATTAATATTATTTTTAGTTCTTAAAATTTTTGGATCTGACCGTGTCCTAGCTGGTGATAATAATGATGGGGCGGTGTGGTTAAACAACGTCGAAAAATGGCAAAAGGATGGTGAATAGCGGCGGTTATGGAAGATTTTTAAAAAACAGCGTGTTTGGACTTAAAAACAAACAAATTAAACAAGCAGGGAAAGCACCAACTAGGCTTTAATGCCAAATTGATGTAAAACGGGAAGAAAAAAGAGGAAGGAAAAAGATTAGAAAGAGCAAAGAAGAGAAAATAAAAAACGGAGAAAAGAAAACAAGTCAAGAGAAAACGATAAGTGCAATATCATTCAATAATCAAGTCTGCTATAGAATAAAACCCTTAGACATAATTGTACTTAAACAATAATAAAAATAAAAATAATAATAACTAGCCCTAATAATAAAAATACTAAAATATTAATAAATCTAAATAAATTCTAAAATGATAATAAATCAAAATAACTAGATATCCTAAAAATATAATAAAATTATAAATATTTCTTTTCATATCCTATCACAGTGAATTTGAAATTATTATATAACTGACTTGGCTCCACCAAAAGTAACAGAGGTATTTAATTTAGACGCGGTTTTTATTCAACACTAGCATCCAAGTGAACATAATGATGGATTCCCCGCATGTTGGTCTCAATCTCACTCTACAGCCCGTATTGCATAAACGGTCTGCGTAATAGTAAGACCAAACAGGGCTATACCGGAAAAAATTCCGGCTTTCCTCCATGCAGTGCCCAAAAAGATATATGCGAGCCTGAAGAACTGGAATTTTGTTCCTTCCACAAAACGCCGCCAATAATGCCACGGCATTCTGAAAACGAGGACGCAACGTCCTACCACACCATTCACCTCGGCTTTGTTCAATATCTTGCATATTTTGCTGTATCTCCCATCCCTTCGTTCCGCCCCAGTTGTGATGCTTTGTAACATATCCACCAAATCCTCGTCCTTGATGGCCTCGTTATGCACTTTTATGACTTCTTCCTGTTTAAGTAGTTTGAGGTCATGAACAGAACAGACCAAACCTTTGAAAAAATAAGCGTAGGAGGTGAATTTGTAGCCGATTTCAGTCAACCCGATTTGCTCCCAAGCAATCAAATTCCTCCATTTTACTTCTGTTGTCTCTTTTATGTGCAGCGTCGGGATTTTCAGTGCTCGCTCCTCCTCATTAAATTCTATTTTGAATTCGAACTTGTCCACGAATTTCCTTAGCACAGAAGCCGCAGTTTCTTCCGACTTGTCATTGCCTGCAAGGTTGCAAATTTAATTTGGTAAGGAGGTGGCTCGCTTTTAAAGATCATACTGGTTCACTGATAACTCAAACACTAGTAGTATAGTAGTAATAGGGTCAAATTACTATAACAACATATTACCTGGAGAATCGTTAGTTTGTGTAGCCTCAGCCTTAATTGTGATTCCCAAAGCTTGGAGCTTTCTAGCGGAGCGCTGCATTGGTAGTGGATCACTCCTGCGTTCCTCGTCCTGATAGGGATCAGGGGAGGACAAGTGGATGAGATGAAGGAAATGATAAACACCGTTGGGGAAATCAGCGCGGGCAACGTTGCATTTAAGGAGTGACTTGGCAAGTTTGTGGGGAGAAAGTGATTTGACCTCCAGAAGGCGACGTAGTCGCGGTAGCTGGCCATCATACAGAAATTCAAAAAGTATTGAGGACAAAGTTGTGAGAACGACAAAAGGGATTTGGTTCTCGAGCAGCGTGAGATCTGTGAGCACTCGTAACATATATTTCGTGTCAACACGTGCCTCTTGCTCAGTAGTGAACCTAAGCAGAAACTCTAGAAGAAAGCAGCCATCTAGTAACATGATTCTGGCAAGCTCCTCTTCTGGCATGTCTATTTTCTCCCCATAGCTCGCTCGAATTATGCTCCCTATGCCTTTCATGGCCTCACTGCAGCTTTTAACAGCCAGCGACTTGTTCTGCGTTCGATGCTCAAAAAGATGGTGCATGTGCTGCCATTTGGTCAATTCAATAAATTGCAGGTCGTTTCTGGTGCCCCTGTGAAAGGGTCCCATGGCCGCGTGCCGAGGCCTGTAACGGTACTCTTTGTCTTCGTCTTCGGCTGGTCGAATCTTTTCTGGAACCCTGCAAATGCTGCCTGTCCTTCCTATTTCGCCATATGCGCATCCCAGCGCCATTTCAATATCAACGATCCATTCATCACCGCGATGACCTCCTTCATACTGTGTTCCTGCCTGTCGCATTAGGCCTGATGACAAACAACATTATTGAGTTAATAAGCGAAACAAAATTTCCAAAGTACTGTAGAAAGAATGACATAGTGGGAAATCAATTACTTGATTTCCCTATCGCCACAGTGGTCGGTCTGCCCTTCTGAGCCTCGTATCGTCCTTTATTTATAGCCACACTTGGACTCACCCAGCCAGGTAAAAAATAAAAAAGTAAAATATTTTAACCACCTTTCTCGTTTGCATCAATTACACATACCTTTTTTTTATTTTAAAAATACACAATTTGATCCAATAAGTTAATACCGTTAAAAACTAAAAACATTATTTTTAATTGAAATTTATATTAAAATAAATTTTACCTACTATTTTATCCTTTATTCTAATAAATTTTTAAATTATATTTTTACAGTTACATAAATTTCATTTATTTAAGGCAAATTTCTCATATCTTCCCATTTCGTTGGAAGTAATTTCCAATAATTCTATTATTTGTTATGATAGTTAACAAAAAAATCAAAGACAACTTACCCATTACATTATTTATCCTACGCATTTACATTGAGAAGATTAAGTGAGGCAGTATCATTAGCACAAGCTAGGCATTACAATGTTCTTTAGAATATGAAGCCTGTCTGTATAATTTATTGAGAAAATTAGCTAAAAGTTCTTAATTAGAAAAATTAACTGCGTAAAGGTACTCAAGTTTTTCAGCAGTACGCCATTTATCTTCAAACAGTGCAACTTTTTCTTAGTTGCATACAAATGTCTTACATGAACTACACCTAATTAAAAATAGATTGCATGTAACTGAAAAAAAAAAAACAGAGAGGTTCACACCCTCTACAAATAGGTTGAGTGTGGTTTTTTAAACAAATTTTAAATACTACCTCCGGTTTTTAATATGGAAAATTATTTGACTTCTATTTTAATTTTAAATATAAGACCTCAATCCACTTTGTCTTTCATATTTATTCAATTTTTTTCAAAATAGTCCTTTTAATAAAAGTAATTCTAGACTTCTAGCCAAAACACTTAATTAATAAGGATATTTTAAGAAAAATAGCACCGATTTATTATAAATAACTAACTTAACTTATTTTTTAAATTTATTTAAATTAGTTAACTAGCTTTTATATTTAGTACCGGAGATATTAGCTTTTACAAAATTAATTTTTTTAATCAGACAATACTTTAGACAAATTTCTCATATCTTCCCATTTCGTTGGGGGTAGATATCTAAAAGTGAAAGACATAAATACATAGAAATGTTAGCTAGTTTTTCCTTTCCATGACAGTCCACAGTCAATATGGTTGTCGACGTAGGGACTGATGACCGGTGGATACTAATATCAGTCATGCGGCCAAGTTTATCGTAGGTCTGGCTTGTTCTTAGAATTTATTTATAAAAAAAAAGTTTAAAATTACGACATCTCACCTAAAGAATTTCTATAAAAATATATGTTGTTATCTGTATGTCCAGTATTATTGAAATCCATTAAAACATTGTTAACAAACTAATTTGAGATTTAATAATTTTAATTTTTTTGTGAGTTTTTTTCTTTAAAAAAACCAGAATAATTTAATTACTTATAGTCCTCTGAATAGGCAATAGACCCCACTCCTTCATCAATTATATATCCACCCACACAACAAACCTGACATCCTCCTCTTAAATTTCATTAATTGTGTAGAGCTGAGTTCATGGAGGTAACATCATTTAGGTGATATAGGCATGCGCACTGCAATAATGCAAATGAGGGATGCGAGTGCCTGACCATGCAAAAATAAACATTTAAGCAATAAGGACTTTGATAAATTGAATGTTTAAGTGGAATTTGAAATCTCGAGGTCTTTTAACTCAATGACATCAAGCATCTTTCTTAAGTCTTTTTTAAATGTCACTACAAAAAAAAAAAGTATTTAGCAATGGTTAAAATTAAATTGATGAATTTGTAACTAAATCAGCTGTAGCTGTAGCAGCTATTATAGCGGCTGCAGAAAACTACTACTCTTATAGTCAAACCGGCTATGATATTTAGTACTCCTTTAGTCCTATTTATAGGATAAAAAAAGAAAGTATTTTTTAGTTCTATTTATAAGGTACTAAGAGAAATTTTTTGTATGGATGTATAATTTTACCCATAATTTATTGTTGTGTTGATTTTATTTATATAAGGTGTAATGTATATTAAACAAGGATAAAGTTAAAAAGTTGTTGAATTTTAAATGAAAGTTAATAAAATTTAACGTTTTTCTTGGTGTGTGTAAAACACACTCTTATAAATAAGATCAAAAGAGTGACAATGAAAAAAAAATTCAAAAAGCTACTACTCTTTCATGAATACTTGGGGCTAAAATAACCATTAACCCATTAAATTTCGTTTCGTCAATCATCTTTTTCAGATTCTGTAGACGATTTCCGAAAAATAGAACAACATAAAAGATGGACAATGTAACATTGTTTGGATATCGCAATTTAATTTGGGCCCAGGAGTATGCATTGGGCTTCGAAAGCTAACCAAGGCTCTGCAGATTGGCTGGGCTTGCCCATTAAATATTTGTGAACAAACACATGAATTTCTTTTACAAGGAAAAAAGTGTCACGACAAATAAAATGTTTAAAATGCAAGTTCGATATAAACGTCCTGGAGGAATAAATTCTTTAAAAATAAAAAAAATCATGAGAAAATATTAAATCATTGAAATTAAATCTATCAATATTCATAATTTATAATACTCAATATAAAAACTTCTATAAAGTTCAAAGGTTATATTAATATTAGTTGTTATCTTTTAATTTTTAACATTTTTTAGACCGAATCTTCCCACACATTTTGTAAATCAAGTTTTATCTGGTACATGTTTGGCTCACCCGACTTGGTGAAAGTCAGAGAGTAAACTCATAAGTTTAATCGAGTTCATAATTATTATAAATTTAAAAACAAATTGATATGATTTTGTAAGTTAGAAATATAGAAGTATTAAACTTTGAGACTCAGCTCACTAGTCATATATACATCTTGATAAAACTATAGTAAATAATTCATAATTAAATAATTTAAGATAAATAAAACATTCAAATTATTGGCCGAATATTTAACGCAAATATATTGAAACCAAAATGCTAACGCGTAGATTGGGAGTTCAGAGAAGTCATTTGGTACCATTATTGTGGTCGTGAAGGTGCGTCATGAAGGAAGTGACCGGAAAAGACTTGTCGACTCCCACTGGAGTCTTGAACACTATCTTGTCCAGATTCTTCTCGTTGATGCTTATCTCATTGATCAGAACTCACTCAAATATTAATAGAATTAATTTGAAAAACAAATTAATAAATATGTGAAATAAGTCTCATATATAAAACTAATATCACCACCCTAATTACGTGCTATCTAATGATTGTATGAGTACAAAAGAAACCCACACAGCGAACTTGCCATCCTCCTCTTACATTTCATTAATTGTGTGGGGCTGAGCTCATTGAGTTGACATCATTTAAGTGATGAAGATATACTCGCTGCAATAATGTACATGAGGGATATGAGACCCGACCATGCAAAAATAAAAATTTAGGCAATAAGAGCTTTCATAAATCGGTGTCAAAATTCATTCATATGTTTAAGTGGAACTTGAAATCATGAGTTCTTTTAACTCAACGATACCAAACATTTTTTTTTATCTTTTTTAAAATGAGGTTATAATTTTGACTTTTTATGAATTTATATACTACTTTTGGTCTTTAATATAAAAATTAATTGACTAATTTAAATATATTAAGAAAATAAATTTAAATGATAGATGTTTAAAAGTAAAAGACATGGGTGCATAAAAATAATCTTGATAGTACAAAATTTAAAATAAAGTGGCTTTTATAACTAACATTTTTAAAAAAAAATTTATTATTTAAAAATTATATATTAAAAATTTCAAATATAGACTGTTTAAATTAGTTATTGCGATAACATATGGTATCTATCATGTTCTAGATAATTGTTGCTTTCTTTATGTGGGCCAATTAGATTTTCGGGGTGTTTAGCAATAAGTGAAAATGCTTTTAAAAAGTACTTTTTTATTAAAAAAAAGATAATTTTTTACATATTTATTTTATATACTGTAAAATTGTTTTTAAAATCATGATTTGGTTTCCATCCAAATAACCTATCAAGCATATCACCAATACACATTGATCGTGCAATGTGATAGAGACAAAAAGCTAGCGACTCAGTGATAATTCAACGCGTTCATATCTTTCACTTTTAAATATCCGCCCATCACAGGCATGATTTGGCCAATGTGAGAAATTTGTCAAAAATTTCTAATTAAAAAATTAATTTTATCCCCTGAGTATAGTGGTACACCACTTATTTTTAAGTATATGTAAAACAGATCATATTTATATATACTACTTCCGGTTTTAATCATAAGTCTTTACTTGTAAACTATATATAAAGTCTTACAATTAAGACTAAAGGTAATAACTAAAAAAGTTCCTATTGCTTAAATATTTATTTTTCCATGGTCGGGCCCTCATATCCTTCATAATTGCGGTAAAGTATGGCTATGTCACCTAAATGAGTTCATCTCCATGAAGAAGCGTGGTTAAAATTGCTTACACAGCCCCCCTCCCAAAATAGATTATAGGACAAAGGACCTACTTTGATAATTATGATATTATTTTTTTAAATAATTCAAGTTAATTATTTTGATTTAAATTATTTAAAAAAAGGCAGCAACACATGCAAGTTTTGTCCCTCGATATGCACCAGATTGACTCATCAATATCCAGTATTTTTTTTTAGTAGAAACGAAGAAATTCATTTAATGTAAAATCTGTACAAAGCAGAGAAAGTTACGAACATTTACAAAAGAAGTCTAAAAGTAGTATAGCTCTGTACAGTGTGGTTAATATCCAGTATTATCTGAATCAAACGGTGGTTTGAACACTTTGCGGCTATACGCCGATGTAATAATGAAATACTACCTCCACTCTCTAACATAAATAACTAGTTGATTATTTTGAGAAAATTTAAAAAGTTTATAAAATTATTTAATTATAACATATCAATTAAATATAATCTTAAAAAATATTTATATGTATCATATAATAAGATTATATATTAGTTTATAAGCACTGTAAATTAATTTGTACAAAAACTATAAATATAATATTTAAAGCAATTTATTCCATGTTTTTAATTTTTCTAAATTAATTAATTAGATTTTATAATACAAGAATAAATATCAAGTTTTAAGATAAGAATAACAACTTTTTTCAAGAGAATGACGAATAGACTTCATAAATTAACACCTCAATCGTTAAAAAAAAAAACTGAAACTAAATATCAAGTATACAATTTCGCTTAAAAAAAAAAAAGAGTAACACGTATAACATGAAAAATAGCAGCTTTGCTTTCAATTATTAAGAATTAGAACTTTAAAATCAACAACTAATTTTAATAAGATCAAGTTCAAAATTTGTGAAAAAAATCTAGAAGTAAATAACAAATATGACGGTGTATAAAAGAAACAAATATGCCATAAGAAATAACAACTTTGCTTTCAAATATTGACAGTTTCAAGTTAGAAATTAACAATTACTTTTCACAAAATTAATTAAAGATTTGAGTGATTGAGTGGATAATTATTCGTGAATAACCAACAACCATACAGCCATCATATAATACTTTTCAAAAATCAAAATTCTTAATCAATAGATAAATAACATCATCATTTTTGTTTAATAAGATACTAAAGTGAATGATTGACTCATTCCATACTGAAAAAAAAAAAAATCACACAAATCTTTTGATGACACAGGTTCCTATTTTTCAATAATATCCCACGATCAAGAGAATTGGTTGAATCCCGAGAAATTTACTATCAGTTACAAATTAACAACTATTTTTACAAAATTAATTACAAGGTTTAAGAAAGAATGAATGTAAATTTCAATTAAGAGACGCAGAGATAATCTTCGTTTTTTTAACACCAAACGTTGATTTTATTTATAAGATGACAAATAAAAACAGTCAAATAATTGCTTTCTTAAAAAACGGCAGATGACATATGTAACTCTTGATAAAATATAGTGATAATTGATAATAAAATAATTCAAGATAAATAAAACATTCAAATTATTGGCCGAATTCATTAACTCTTACATTTTATCTTCATTGAAATTTTATAATCTCAACCTTCCCTTTACATCCCTTAAAGGAAAGTTGAGGTTCATGTTTGAACCAACTAAAAAGTATCTACAATAGAGTTATAGGCATTTAGTAGTATTTTTTTTTTGGCTCAATGTTACCTCAATTAAAAGTGATAAAAACAAAAGATTAATGTCGCCTTAATGGTTTAAAAACTAATATTACCAGCTTAAAAACTAATATTGACTATTAACAGTTTATAACAGTCAAAGCAACATTACTTATTTTTTTGATATTTTTAGGGCAATATTGACTCAAGAAAAACTTTCAACTACTTATAGCTACTCCACAAATATTTAGATTTTAGGGGAAAATAACCGTTAACCTTTTAAATTGTTTTCCTCAATCATTTCGCTTTTAAGAATATGTAGTCCATTTCTCCAAAACAATATAAAAGATGGACCTCGTCATATTATTTTGGTGTATCGCAATTTAATTTGGGCCTTATAAATCTGTTACATTACACAAGAATCATGTATTGGGCTTCAAAAATTGACCAGGCCATTGCAGATTTGTTGGCTTTTGCCCATTAAATATTTCAGAGCAAACGCATGAATTTTTTTATAGGGAGAAAAGTATCAAACACTTGATGAGCCGCTTATATACCCTTTAACAGTATAGGGGAACAAATATAATGCAGGAATAACTACCAAGTCTTAGGATAAGAATAAGTGAATAACAACCGTTTTTTTTTTTTTTTAAGAGAACGACAAATAGACTTCATAAATTAACGACTCAATCGTTGGGGAAAAAAACTGAAACTAAATAACAACTATACCATTTTGCTTAAGAAAAGAATAATATTCCTTCGGTTTTAATATATAACCTAATTCTTAAATTGGTTTTGGTCCTAAATATAAGACCCATTTCTAATATTTATTAATTTTTTCTAAATTATCCCTATGGATACTCCCTCAACCATAATCAAATAGAAGAGAGAAGGAAGGTATTAAGAAAGATGATTATGGTATTTTAGGAAAAATGTGTCATTTTTATTATAATTAACTAACTTACTTAAGTTCTTTAATCTAATCAAATTAGTTAAATGGGTCTTATATTAAGGATCGGAGGAGTAACAAGTATATCATAAAAAATAACAGCCTTGCCTTCCATTATTAACAATTAAAAATTAGAAATTTAAAACTAATTTTGGCGACATCAAATTCAAAATGTGTGGAACAAAACCTGGAACGAAATAACAGATATGCCAGTAGTGTATAAAAAAAAAACATGCCATAAGAAATAACAATAATTTTGCTTTCAAATATTGACCGTTCATTAGAAGTTAGAAATTAACAATTACTTCTCACAAAATTAATTAAAGATTTGAGTCTATTATAATAAATTAATGGGAGTTAAGCCTGGTGGAAGGAGGTAGTCCCTTATAACACGACGAACTAAAATTCAAAACCGTGCTAAGAAAATAATGCAAAAATACTTATGAAGCTTCTAACTGCCATGATATTTTGCATAATTTTAAAAAGTTCATATTTACTTTTGTGTCTAAGAAAAGCTTATAATGTATGGTGCTCCCCATGCAATACTTGAGGAATGGATTTTCATCTTAACTATTATGGCAAATAAAAAAAAAGTCAAATAATTGCATTCTAAAAAGATACAGATTACATATGTAACTCTTGATGAAGATATAGTAATAATTGATCAGTAAATAATTCAAGATAAATAAAAACATTCAAATTATTGGCCGGAAATTTAACGCAAACATATTGGAACGAAAATGCAAGTGCGTAGGTTGGGAGTTTAGAGAAGTAATTTAGTGCCATTGTTGTGGCTGTGAAGGTGCTTTTCCTTTTCATGGTGCGTCATGAAGGAAGTGACCGGAAGAGACTTGCCGATTCCCATCAGCACCTTAAACACTATCTTATCCGGATGCTTCTCGTCGATGCTCATCTTGCCGATCGGAACCCACTCATCTCGCTGATCGGAACCCACAAGAATATTAGTAGAATTAATTTGAAAAGAAAATTAATAAATATGTAAAATAAGTCTTATATATAAAACTAATATCAACTCCCCAATTACATCCTATCTTATATTAAGGATTGTATGAGTACAAAACAAAACAACCCTACTCCTTCATCAATTATATCCACCCACACAACGAACTTGCCATCCTCCTCCTATATTTCATTAACAGTGTTTTTTAAAAGTATTTTTCCACCTTCCCAAATACTCCCTTAGTAAGGCTGCAAGTATCAGACTCCCGAAAGGGTGAGAGTGAAGGGGAATCTCTGCGCTCTGACCCCTCTTCGGCTCTTCCTTCCTTGTTAAGCTAGCTCAGTGTTTAAGAAAATAATAATAATAAGTAATTTTAAGCTTAAATAGATAAAAAAGATAACAATGCTTCAATTTTAAATATACAATTTTAATTTATTGTGTCTCCCATATCTATTTATTTTTTTGTTAAAGTAGTCCCATATTGAGATTAATATGTCTCTGTTTTCTAGCAAAATTCTTGCACTCAGTTCGGCAGATTTCCACACAAGTTCGTTCCCACATCAATGACACTTTAAACTAGTTATCCATGTGAGATGAGTCCCCCCCCCCCCCAACTTGTACTGACATTAAAGGTTCTGGCTAATAAGAAGAACATGCCTATTTATTGAAGGCTATGGCATCTAGCGAACATAAATGGACATGCTTTTCTAAATCTCACTTTACTGCACGTATTGCATAAATGGTCTGCGTAACAGGGAGAGCAAGCAGAGCTGCACCGACAACAACTCCGAGGCACTTCCATGGAGAACCCAAATAGATATCGAACAAGGTTTTGAATCCGCGTCGAAGCCATTCCAGAAAAAGCAGCCAAGCCGTCACACACCGTCGAGAAAAAATCGCTCCATAATGCCATGGCATTCTCAAAACCAGGACACAACGTCCCGCCACACCATTCACCTTGGCTTTGTTCAATCCCTCACATACTGCCTCGTATCTCGCATCCTTTCGTTCCGCCCCGGTAGTGATGCTTTGGAACATAATCACCAAATCCTCGTCCTTGGCCTCCTTATGCACTCTTATCACTCCCTTGTCCTTGAGCAGTTGGATATCATGAGCACAACACACCAAACCTTTGAAAAAATAAGCGCAGGACGTGAAGTTGTAGCCGATTCTACTCAACTCGGTTTGCTCCCAAGCAATCAAATTCCTCCATTTTACTTCCGTTGCTTCTTTTATGTGCAGCACCGGGATGATCAGCTCTCGCGCACTCTCATTAAATTCTATTTTGAATTCGAACCTGTCCACGGATTCCCTTAGGACAGAATCCCCCATTCTCGTGTTGTTTTTGCCTGCAATGTCGCGAATTTGGTGACTGCTACTCCACTGATAACACAAATACTACAGTAGTGGCTGTGTTAAATTACTTTAACTACATATTACCTTGAGAAACGTTGGTTTGTGAAGCCTTGAGTGTGATTCCAAAAGCTTGAAGCTTTCCAGCGCAACGCTGCAGTTGTAGTGGAGCTGTCCCGTTTTCCAGTTGTTGAAGGATCATGAGAGCCAAGTGGATGAGATGAAGGAAATGATAAACACCTTTGGAGAAGTCAGCGCTGGCAACGTTGCATCCAAAGAGTGACTCGGCGATTTTTCGGGGAGAAAGTTCTTTAAAGTCATCGCCAATTTGCCCAGAAAGTGCCAGTAGACTGGCAAGTTCTGGTTGGGGATGAGCAGCCGGCTGAGAATGATCGAATAGTCTCCAGGACAAAGTTGTGAGGAGGACGAAAGGGATCTGGTTCTCGAGAAGAGAGATCTGTGAGAACACGCAACATCTTTTTCTGGTCAGCGGTATTATCCACAGAAGGATCAATCTCATTTTCAGTGAGCTTAAGCAGGAGCTCTAAGAAAAAGCAGGCATCAAGTAACATGATTCTGGCATGCTCCTCTGCTGCCATGTCTATTTTCTCCCCATAGCTCGCTCGAATTATGCCCTCTATACCTTTGATGGCCTCACAGCAGCTTTGAAGGGGCATCCACACCAAGCCGTTTGGATCTGAGCAACTAAGAAGCTTGTGCATGTAGCGCCATTTGTTCTCTTCCATGATTTGCAGGTCGGTTCTGGTGCCCCTGTGAATGGGTCCCATGGCCACAAACTGAGGCCTGTACATGTACCTTTTGTCTTTGGCCCCTCGAATTTTGTCTGGAACACTGCAAATACTGCCCGTCTTCGCTTCAGGGTCATTGCCATTCATGCATTGCAGCGTCATTCCAATATCAACGATCCATTGAGCGGGCGAACTTCTTTCGTCTGTGTGCTCCTCAGACCCTGACATTAGGCCTTACACGAACATGATTAAGCTAATTAGGGAAAGAACAATAGGAAGAATGAGATAACCTGGAAATTGATTTGCCGTGTATGCCACACCTGAAAATATCACTTCACCCTACTCGATTTCCGCTCCGCCAGAGTGGCCGCATCTGCCCTTGTGACCCTCATATAGCCCTTATTTATAAATTATAACCACGCTTGCTCCGCCAAACTATTGCGTTTGTTTTTGTTATGATGGCACAATATTCTATTTTAAATTATTGGTAAACCAAATATCATTAAGCTAGGTTTTCCCACCAATGATTCCAACCTGATTAGAAGTCAAATACAATACTAGCTATTTAACTAATTTAAGTATGTTAAAAAAATGAATGAGGTCAGTTATTTGTAACAAATAAGAATTAATTTTTTTTAAAGTTTTCTTTTTCATCACGACTACTGTAGATAATAACACTTGACATGTGTAATTAATTAAAAAGGATACTTTAGAAAATAAATTATAAATTTAAAAGACAAAATAGATTGAGATCTTGTATTTAAGAACAAATTCAATTTACAACTAACTTTTATATTAAAGATGTAGCACATAGTAATTTCCTCAAATTTGCGTCAATATTGACTTAACAAAATCTAGAGGGGGGAACATAAAACTCAAAAAGTAAAAGGCATAGCGTAATGTTAAAAAAATTATGAACTTAAATAGTTTAGTTATGAATAAAGGAAGTATAGAACTTATATATAATTTAAGTAAAATATGATAACCGTCCTTCCAGTTTACTAAAATTATAGTGACCTTCCCTCCTCCAGCCCAAAGTCAAGCTCTGCTGCCAAATCCTTACTTTAAAAAAGCATAATTAAGCTTAGAATCTGAAATATTTTTATGTGTGCCTTTATTTATAAGAGACAAATAAGAGAGAGAAGATATGAAAGAGAATGTAATAAATCTTTTTAATTAATGCAATATATAAAATTAACAGACCCTCTTCTTCTAGCAGACCCGAGGCTTCAGCTGCAAACAAGAAAATTATTGTCTTACCCAGATGGTGAGTCCCGAGTTTGCAGTCCTCGTCTCCCCTAATTTCTGCAATATATATAAATATATATATATATATTAACCTCTGTTTTTCTTTCACGGTGTTTGCCTTACTGAACTTGAACTGGAAAGGAGATGGAACTGATGAATCGGGAGCGCTAGCAACTGTAGGAGTCTCCCAGACAAATGCTGACATAATAAGCTTAACGCACACAAGGAAGATCCATCTGCCCTCAGTCCAAGGAAAGTTGGTGGTTCCTGGAACCAACTGGACTTATTAGATTAGAATTTTAAGCTTCTTTTACCTAATCATTTCTCTTTCTAGAATTTGTAATCAAAAGATTACCTTCATCTAAATTTTGCAGGTGCGTCTAGTCTTATTTTAAAAGAGTCGTCAATATAAAACAAATAAAATAAATATTATTCCTATTTAATGCTGATGGTTAAAACCACCTCACCCAAAATTGTTGGTTTGCACCCAAAAAGAAGAATACAACTTTAAATAATTTTGAGTGATAATTTTAAGAAGTAATATCTGTAATTTATTTTTAAAATTAATATAGATTGGCATTTGTGTATTGTGACTTGAATATATAGTTTGGATCTGCATTTTATGCATTATATATCATTGTTTAGATCAATTCTTGGCATGCGTAAGTAATTTTTTTTTAATTAGAAGCGATCCCATTCTAGGCATGCTCCCCTTTTTAATGGAGTATTATTTGTTGTTGGGGTAGATTTTCCGGGGGGAAAAAAAGACGGGCATTGTAATATTTTTATGGGCATAATAAGTCTTTTAGGCCGTACAAAAAGCATCTATTGGGCTTAAAAAAGTAATCGGGCCTCAACAGATAGTTGGGCTTTGCCCATTAATTATTTCAGAACAAATGCATGAAAAGTTTTTAAAGGGGGAATGATATATACCCTTTTAAAGCTTAGAACCTGAAATCATTTTAAATTGTTTATTTGCTCCTTTAGCTATCCCTCCATCATTTTACCCAGCCTTGTTTTTGGCCGGCCGCATTATACTATCAACGAACAAACAGAATTTGAATAGACTCATCTCAAGAATTTAATATAATGTTACAAAGTGACCAAACTATAAAGTATCACTCAATACATTGAAATATGATAGTTACATTTCTAATACTCTACATTGTATAATACACCGCATTTAAATGACATACAAAAGTATTGTAATGCTCACTTGGTGGATGTGATGACTTCATTTTAGGTGACGCAGGAAAGCATCTTTCTGCAATTATGTAATTGAATTTTGGTGACTTGCAGTTTTTCCAAAATTAATGGAGCCAACCATTCCAAGTTGATCCTATCATTGGATGTGATAAGGGGTAGAATATATTATTGATTTTCTTGGTTCTACTAACATTATAAAGAGCTTTATTCTTTTTAAAACTTATAATTGAGTTCACAAAAGCTAATCTTAAGATTTAAGCAAGAATGCAAATTTTCAATTACGATCTTCATTTTCTAACAGAAGAACGATTATTTTATTTATAACATGGCAAATAAAACGTTCAAATAATTGTATCTTGGTAAAAATAAATACATATCACATAAAGTTATTTAACTCTTAAGGAGAGGATACTTAAGCACGACTCAAACAGTATATTATTGTTGTTTTTGCGACGGTTGCCAACATCTTATTGCAATTGTTTTCGGTAGTTCCGGACTCTGTTAAATTTCTGCTTGTATCAGCTTCACATTTCTATATTTCCACTCACAATGTGTTCCTTTCCAGGCTCCTGTGACATATATTTTCTGGTTCTATTTGGCTGATATTGGCTTTAAGAGGTTTCTTACTTCTGTACATATCAGCCATGTGATCTATATCCAGTTTCCCATTTATATAAAAACACCCCCCCCATTGGTTCTATTTATAAGGAAGAGAGAATTATTTTTTTTGTCATATTTAATTTGTAGCTGATTCCACTCAACCGGATTTGCTCCCAAGCAATCAAATTCCTCCATTTTACTTCTGTTGCTTCTTTTAGTTGCAGCGTCGGGATTATCAGTTGATGCTGCCTCTCATTAAATTCTATTTTGAATTCGAACTTGTTAACAAATTCCTTGAGTGCAGAAGCCACACAGTTTTAAGTTGTTTGACCTCATGGTCAACTTGCTGAGAAAGTTCAAGTAGACAGGCAAGTTCTTTTTGGTGATATGAAATTGAAGTCCGTGATATATCCTTAATCCAAAAGTTGTAATCTTGTGAGTTGAAGCAACTGTGGACTGAAGATCTGAAAGAGAGGACAAGACCTAATGCATTCAGGGAGTTAGTGGATAAAGCACCTGGGAATGGAAGTTCAAGAGCAGATTCACATACAAGTTTCTTGATGAGTCATCAATTCTCCCCCCCCCCCAAAATAGTATCCCTATTACAATTTATTAGGAAAAAATTTCAAGTATAAAATAATGTTTTTCAATACTATTAAATGAAGATAAAATTACAAAAAGAAGAAGTTTATTTCCAAACAAATGTGATGAGTCAGCGACCTTATCTAATTCGTGGGTGTGGCTTATAATAATAAGGATGAGGGTTATAATGTCATGTTCTTTAGCGGTGGATATTTAAAATAGAGAATCCCATAAAAAAAACTTGAAATTACTAAATATCTCAAATCAAGTTTTATAATAACACTTTAATAAATATTGATAATACTAGACTTGTAAATAACAACATATTTTTATAAAAATTTCTTATTTATTTATTCTCAATTTAAAAGTGAAAGACATGAATGCATAGAAATGTCATCAACAAGTCGTTAGTTCTCTGTTTTCATCACAGTTGTACATAGTGAATTGTTGTTGAGGGGGCTAATATCCATGTGATAAAATCTAATAGGCGGTCATAAAGAAAGCAATAAATATTTAGAATAATGAGGACTGTGCATTTGCAAGTTGCAACCCAATGTGACAGCAGTAATGTTGTTAGAATTTGCCTTAGAATTTATGAAAACCAGGATAATTTGCCTTTGCATATTGTTATTTTTAAATTTTTAAAAGATAAAATATATCCAGTCCTATTTATAAAGTTCAAATTCAGGAAGGGTGTAACTTATTTTATAAGCTTCAATTTGGGTTTGTTTTAACATTTAATGCATATTTTTCTATATTATCCTTAATCATTTCTCTCTTCTCACATTTTCTCACATATCTTTCATCCTTTTTCTCATTTATTATAAGATTATAGTTGGAAACAAAAATATATTTCTAACTTATCTATTGTTTTTAACTAATTTTAACCAACTATTTATTATCTATAAATTAGTTATTTGAAACTTATAATAAGAAATAGATGGAGTATGAAGAGAAGTAGAGAACAGATAAGCGTATATAACACCTCAGAAGATGTTCTCCATACAACACAATCAAGGCCACGTTTAACTTCGAATAAACTGACAAAGGTAAAACACAACTGAATGAATGATGCTAATTAACAATGATTTGTATTTATTTATCCGAACAAATTTCAAAATCTTTCACTTGTGCAAAATACGATTTTTACCATGGCCTTTCCCCATCGGTGTGATCATATAGCTTCTAAGTTGCATCCACCTATTGTGAAGGAAACACTAACTCTAAAATTTATTCCACCTAAAAACCTTGCACTGAGATTAGCAATTGAGATTAATATCTTACGATTTTCTGGGTAAATTCTTTCACTGACACGTTCAGACAAGTTCATTATATTCCATTAGCTAAAACATTTTTTCCCCAAATTTTGGTTCATTTTTGCTTTGATTAATTCCTCTTTGAAATAGTAAGGCGGCATGATGTTACAAGTTTCACGTTGCAGAGTTTCACAAATAAAATGGAGTTTATAAGTTTACAAACTCTCCCATTATACTCATATTCATAACATTGATATTTTTAACAAAAGGGCCAGCATGGTCCCGGAGACATAGTGATAGAGGTGAATTTGAAAATATTACATCATTGACTTGGCTAATTAAAACAAAAGGAACACGAATTTTTATTCAACGCTAGCATCCAAGTGAACATAATGAACTCCCCGCATGCTTTTCTAAATCTCACTGGCCACGTGCCGCATAAATGACCTGCATAACAGTGAGAATAAGCAGAATTGTAGCGTAAACAACTCCGATGGTCTTCCATGGAGCCTCCAAATAGGTACGTCGGAGCGCGCCAAGATAGGTTGTTGATAGTCTGCGTCGAAGCCATTCCAGAAAAAGCCGCCAATAATGCCACGGCATTCTGAACATGAGCGCACAACGTCCTGCCACTCCATTCACCTCCGCGTTGTTCAATCTCTCGCATACTTCTCTGTATCTGGAATCCGCTCGTTTCTCCCCGGTTATGATGCTTTGGAACATAATAAGCAAATCCTCGTCCTTCGCCTCCTTATGCACTCTTATCACTCCTCTGTCTTTAAGCAGTTTGATGTCATGAACAGAACAGACCAAACCTTTGAAAAAATAAGCGTAGGAGGTGAATTTGTAGCCGATTCCCTTCAGCCCAATTTGCTCCCAAGCAATCAAATTCCTCCATTTCACCTCTGTCGCTTCTTTTATGTGCAGCGGCGGGATGATCAGCTCTCGCTCCGTTGCATTAAATACTATTTTGAATTCGAAGTTGTCCACGAATTCCATTAGTGCAGAAGCCAGAGTTCCTTGTTTGTGTTTGCCTGCAGTGTTGCAAATTTGGTGAGTGGCTGGCTCGGTTTTGAGGGAAAACGAGAGGGGGGGGGGGATTTTAATAAGCTTGATTTAAAAAATTGAAAAAATAGGGTTAAAAATTTTTAGTTAATTTTTATTACTTTTTATATAACTTTTTCTCTTTCTTAAAATTTTAAAACCCTGCTTCTCCAATTTTTTAAACAGAGCTCATTAAAATTTTCTTCCTCCTCCCTTCTATATCCCTCTTACCAAATAATACCTTGAAGATGAATCACTACAATTCACTGATAACTCGAATAGTTAAATTACTTTAACAACATATTACCTTGAGAATCGTTAGTTTGTAACGCGGTAATCGTGATTCCAAAAGCTTGGAGCTTTCTAGCGCAGCGCTGCAGTTTTGGTGGATCTGTCCTGGGTTCCTCTTTTCCATAGGGATCAGGGGAGCACAAGTGGATGAGATGAAGGAAATGATAAACACCTTTGGAGAAGTCAACGGTGGCGACGTTGCATTTAAGGAGCGACTCGGCAATATTTTCCGGAGAAAGTTTGACCTCGCCGTGAACTTGCCGAGAAAATGCACGTAGACTGGCAAGTTGTGGTCGCTGAGCAGCCCCCGGAAGTCCTAAAAGTTTTGAGGACAAAGTTGTGAGAACGGCGAAAGGGATTTGGTTCTCCAGCAGCGTGAGATCTGTGAGAAGACGACGCAACGACTTTTCCTTGTTATACATGGAAGGATCATCAGTCTTCTTCTCTTCGAGCTTCTGTGGATCATCAGTCTCCTTCTCTTTGAGCTTCAGCAGAAGCTCTAAGAGAAAGCAGCCATCAAGTAACATGATTCTGGAAAGCTCCTCTGCTCCCATGTCTATTTTCTCCCCATAGCTCGCTCGAATTATAGGCTCTATCGTTTTCAGGGCCTCACTGCAGATTTCAACGGACGCTGCATTGCTCTGGTGCTCCATACGAGCAAGGAGATCATGCACGTACTGCCATTTGGTCTGTTCCATGATTTGCAGGTCGCTTCTGGTGCCCCTGTGAAAGGGTCCCATGGCCACAAGCTGAGGGGCGCAGGGTGTCTCCATTTCCTTTATGAACTATTTCCCTCCATTTCCCTTAAACGGTACCGTTTCTTGTTAGTTATGTCCCCACCCAATAAAAAAATTGCACAGTCACTTTTGCCACGCCCCCCCTCCTTCTTTCTTTAGGCGATTTCCGTGCTCACTCTTCGGTCTGGTGTGTGGGTGTTTTTTACCAATTGCTTATGGATCTTGTGGTGGGTGATGGTTTCTCTTGAAATCCTGTAAATTCAGGGATGATGAAGAGACGCGAACAAAGAAGAGGTACTCTTTTCAAAATTACTTCTCACAAAGCTTGAGTTTTTCCTTGTGTTTTTGTTTATATTGGGTCGAATTATATTTTTCCCTCACTAGGTATTCTCAAATATTCTCTTCAACCGACACATTAATTGGGTTAATTGAAAGCCATACTTGATTTCTCCTTGCTGCCGCATATAATTTTACTGCTATCAAGTTTATGTGGGCGAGCAATGTTAATGGCTTGTTCAAAACTTGTCAAGGGATGTGTCCTTCCTATGAAGATTCAATGAGACCGGGCAGTTAATTGAAGTATCAAGTCATTTAATTCTACATTTGATTATGTGCTAAATCTTTAGTTTCCTTGTAAATTAGTGGGACAGATATTAATTTGGTCTTCAAGGTAATAAATTATAAAAGTGTCAAGTAGCTAAGGGATCATGGAACTCATTACTGGAATTAATTTAGCCCCAGAAAAACATTTCATTATCTATCAGATTCTAATTGTAAGTTTGTGGGCAACTCATTAGGGATGGGTGGAGCTGTGGTGGCCAACTATAGTGACAAGAGTGTTTACTTTGATTCTATCAGATTCAATCTTTCTATCTTAAGATGCTTTATATGATTCAATATTGTTACGAAAAGCTTGTTTAATTGTTAAATCTGATTTAGAATTATTTTCTTTTGAAATTAAGAAAATGAATCATGCCTGTGCCCTGTGACTTATTGGCATTTTTTATATCTAAATTATGTTGGCATTTTGAGTTTGCAATATATTGAGAGAACTTATAAGGACTTATTGACATCCTGCATTCTCTTCTTTGTGACAGCGTGAACATCACAGTTGGAAATATATAAGGATCATCTTTAACACTTTTGCTTGAATATATTATGGTAGATAATGAAAATAACTATTCAATGTTAAACTTTATAATTGCAGTTGAAAAAGAAAATAGTAGCTGAAATCAATCACTATGTTGTCACCAATATGGGCTACATGATCAAAAAGAGAGCAGCTCAAATACAATAAATGCCATACAATCATCTTAAGAGCTACCGTAACAAGAGAAAAGCCCAAGGAGCTGAATTGAAGCCGTTGTCTGGAACGATAAGAGCTTAATTGGATGACTTCATTTAGGATGATCTAAGTTCCTTTGTAAACCTATATCGGTAACATATTGTGATTACATATTGCTGGCTCATATGTCAATCTCCACTCTCCTTTTTTATCAACTCTTGTGATTACATATTCAAATACAATGGCATCATCATCTTCATTTGTCTTTCTTTCCTTTTTCTCTTTTATACATGTAGCATCACGCAAGTCATACTCTTGCTAGAACAAGTCAAAAATAGGTGGAGTGTAAATTTCAGAAAGCTGTTGAAGTATAGATGAACTCTTTAAAATCAACCTCGGCAACTTCTGCCGTGAGTCAAAATCACTCTTTAATTCACTAGATCGTTTATCTACAACAACCTCTTCAAAGATTTCAAAGAATTGATTGATATTCAATTCAGGATTTGTACAACTTTTTATGAAAGAATTAATACTTTCACTAAGTTGTGTGCTTCTCATACCAAGAGTCTTTGAATCCTTCATGTAACATGCGCGCTGCCCATTTTTCTTTCAACTCATAAATGGACATCAACCAAGGATTATCTGCTGCATTGTACTTCAACAATAATTCTTTCCAAGATTCCTCAAACACTATTTTTTCTTCACAATGATACATGCACCAATTAAACTTACCCAAAAAATGAGAGTCATCCTTCATCAAGTTTCCAAGATGTTTCACCGCATATCTATTAATATGAAAAGTGCACAAGCCATGCTTCACAGTTGGCATTACTTCTTTCAAGGCTCGTGCCATCGTAGCATCTTGGTCAATAAATACAGTAAATGGCAATTTTTCCTTATGTGCTTGTAGAAAAGTTTCAAAAAACCATTTAAAAGATTCAATGGTCTCATCATACAATAAAGCAACACCAAATATCACTACTTCTCTATAATGATTGAGACCTGAAAAAATGGCAAGCGGTCTATTTTCACGATTGGTGGAGTATGTTGTATCAAATGAAATGACATCCCCAAAACAATCATAATCTAACAACATATGTGGATCATCCCAAAATACATTAGTTATTCGATCTTCTGAGTCCACTTGATAGGCATGAAAATATGAAGGATTTTCTGTTAGTTGATGTTGGAAATAACGAAGTAGACACCCGGCTTCATCATAGCACATTTTTCGTTGTCTCCTTGCTCTTAGATAACTCTTTATATCCTCTTCAGTATATCTTAAGTTAGCCCTCCCTCCTGCATATTTACTCATTAAATTCAAAGAGGCTTTTTGCTTAACCCCGACGTCTTCAGCAGCTTCTAAAGCATAACCTTGTGCTTCTGGTAATTTCCTCTGTGATGCAAACATGTGAACAGTTTCTTGAGGCTCTAAAGGATGATTATGATCCAAATAAAGTTCACTAACTCTAAATCTTCTATTCACTTTTTTAATTATCATTCTGACTTCACACCCAGTTCTTGTTTCCTGTCGAGGCTTCTTAATTTTGAAATCTCTTTTATCTGGTTTTCTCACTCCCTCCTTGTGACAAACATATTTATAATATATGATAGAACCATCTTTCTTGCTTTTATTGGAGTTTTCTTTTCTAACACCAAATCCCATTCTTTTGCCATAGCCAACCCAATACTGCCATGTCTCTTCTAAATTATCAAATTCAAGATCAAGTGTGGGAGTCATATTTGTATTCATTATTTAGGACAAAGTGAGAATCTGGAAAAAAAAAAAAAGGGCACTCGAATATATGAGTACACAGACGAAAAACAAGCAACAAAAATATTAAACTTGTTACACTCACCAATGCCGCCAAACCAATGCCAAATCCAACGATACCCTTTGTGCAATAAGGCTTATATATTTTTTTAAACTTGCTGCATCAAGTAGATATTGAATTAGTAACGAATTAAAAAAGAACTTACAGAAAAAAAAAAGAAGACGATGACACTTGCAGATGAATACGAACCTTATGGCACAACGAAGAATTAAAAACCTTATTTTTGATTATTAGATTCCTATTGCAACGATTGTTTGAGTATTAAAATCTTATTACGGTGCCTATTTGGCTATTTCACGAATTCCCGCGCTTTTGGGAGAAAAACAGAGGAGGGCGCTATTTGTTCTTTAATTTCAGGTGGGGACATTAGTGAAAAACTGAACGACACTATTTAAGGGAAATGGAGGGAAATGGTTCGTAAAAGAAATGGAGACACCATTGGCCCCAAGCTGAGGCGTGTACCTGTACTCTTTGTCTTCGCCTCCTCGAATTTCGCCTGGAACCCTGCAAGGCTGCAAATGCTGCCTGTCTTTGCTTGCTTGAGCTCTACGCATCCCAGCGTCAGTTGGATTCCAACAATCCATTCTTCGGGTTGCTTTCTTTCCTCTTTCTTTGAAGCTTGATCTTGATCATCATTAGATACAAACAACGTTATTAAGTTAATTAGTGAAAGAAAATTTTCAAAATAAAATAGAAAGAATGACATAGCGGGAGATTAATTACAACCAGCCATTCGTCACCCCCTTGATTCCCTGCTCCGCCAAAGTGGCCGGATCTGCCCTTGTGAGCCTCATATCGCCCTTATTTATAATCACACTTGGACCCGCACCCCGCCGGATAGAAAAGAAAAAGTGAAAAAAATAAAAAACAAAAACAATACTCATAAAATAAAAAAGCGGCATGGAATAATGTGGAAAATTTATGACTTAGTTATGGACAATGGAAATTGTGTAATACTTGAGTAAAACAAAATAATATATTGTTGGTGCCAATATTTCTCTCAAGTGTAGAACGAGAAGATAAACACTGGGTACATCGTCTTCAAAACTGTGGCAGAACTTCTTCTTTTTCGAGCTTAATTTGCCTTTGGACGACAACAACTCTTATAAAATCATAATTTGACTTTTAAATTTGATTTTATATTTTTATTCAATATTAAAATAATATTTTTATAGGATATTAGATTAATGATGAAAATTAAAAAAAAAAACAGAGTAAAGTGGATGGTAAGGGAAGTGAAAGACTGGAGACTGGAGAAGTTCCCTTCCCTCCGAATGCACTCAAAACAAAGACAATATGTTTTTATGTTATTTTTTAGTGGAGTAATGATAAGGGGTATTGTGGTGAATAAAATAAGAAATTTTAAATTTCCTATTAAAATTAAAACTCACAATATCTAATTTACCAAAGAGTGTGAGATATTGAGTTATAAGCCCGGTTCATTCCTGTGAACTATAGCATAAGCCAAATGCAAGGAGGGCTATGATGTAAATAAAAAAGAATTGGGTCCAGAAACAGAATTTTTTCCTCATGATTTAAAAGTTTAAAGGGTTAATATGATTTTTAATCCCTCAAATTTGTCTTCATTTTGGTTTTGGTCCCTCAAATTTTAAATAATAGATTTTGGCCCGTCTAGGGGTAAAATAGTCCACATTTTTATTGGATTATAAGAACCAATATTTTAAATAAAAAAATTTTAAAGAACCAAAAACGTATGATTTAAAATTTAGGAGGCTAAGGTCAAAATTTGTATTAACCCAAGTTTAAATCTATATAATCAGAGTACGTGAGTAGTTGGATATGAGTTCAAGATAAAGTTGTTCATGTGTGTGCAGGATGCTCTGTCGACTCTCGCTCTCGCCCTGGCCCTCAAAGTTCTCTTCTTTCTCTTTGGTTGCGGTGTTGCGTGATGGAAGCCCAAATCGATACTCCAGTCCCGTGTGGGCAAGACAATGCCAATCACATCCAGGTACGCCCGAAATGCTAACTCATTTGAGATTGAGAGCTGACTATGAGCTGTTCTAAAAGTGAAAATGACAATCAGGTCATGGCAAGGGACTGAACTACTCGACAGCAGCAGAGGTGGGAAAGGCTCACCAGCTAATGCACCATCTCCATCACCCGCTATAGAAAGTATAGCAGTGAAGCGGCTGAAAGCTTTGTGCAGTATTAAGGAGCCGACGGTGAACGACGGAATAGATATGGTCGGCGCGGCGAATCTTTTGAAGAGTACGATGAAATACCCATCTCGTCCTGAGGAGATTCAGCGCGCCAAGGAACAGGCTGAGAAGGCCGCAATGGTGTTATATGATGCGGAGAGCCTTCGCAACGAGGGAGTGCAACTCCTCTGTGAGAGCCAAAAGTTGTTTGAGGAACTACTCTAATTTGCTGCAGCTCCCATATATATGATAATTAAGCTTAGGTTTTAGGCGATCACTACGCCAAGTTATCAAAGTGTTTCAATAAGGCTCTAGCCACCTGTAGTTTTATTTATTTTTAATTTCCTTTTGTTCTATCTTCTGGTGTGTATGTGTAAGGAGTTTCTCGCTTCTGCTATGAGAATAAGAGGGCTCTATTGGGTTAACCGTAGAGAATGAAACCCTGTTATATATCTACATGTGTATGTTGATTTGATCAAGCTAGCTAATTGATCTATGAGGTTGCCGAGTTTGCTGATCTGATTTAATTTGTCAATTCTCTTCTCCAAAACCAAAATTGCTTGCAGTTGGAATTTTTCTCTTTCCCTCCCTTTCCTTCTTTCAAAATATACTCTTAATTGGCACCAAGTGCAAGCTTTAATTTGCGAGGTGTTGCCTTTTTTATTAAGCTTATACTCTCTCTCTCTCTCTCTATGATCCCTTACATAGTCTTCTTTTAGAAAGAATTAACGGTGAATACAATTATTCTTATATGTGAATTAGTGACGAGGGGTAAAGATGAGGGGTTTTAACGTTACACTATTTAGTTTAGGAGGAGAAGCAAAGGTAAATATTTTTATATGGATAGTTTTATCCTCATTTTATTTGAGAAAAATTTCAGTTAGCCTCCTCTGAACAACCTTAGGTTCCAAAAGCTCTATAAGCTTCTGAAACTTCGTTATATCCCTTTAACCGAAATGGAAGTAAATATTATGGTGGAAAGACAACTATGCCCTCGTGTTTTTTTTTGGGGCGTAAAAAAAGATCAACCGCTGTCGGGGTGCTGGTAGTCAGACCCCTTACCTCACGCATAACATTTAATCCTATTCTGGTGAGTCAATTTGATGCATATCGTGAAAAAAATTGCATATGTTTAAATTACTTAAAGTCTTTCCATAAATTTATTTTTTTGAAATTTTAAATAAAATTGATTTAAAACAAAAATTAAATTAAGTTGCGAGTTTATATAATAGTAACCTACTCCATGTCTCTTAAGTCTGATGGATTGTTCAGAAAGCAATAACATTGACTGAGTGTAAGCCAAATTAGATAGTGTTAGGTCATAGTATATACTATATGCGCATATAAATCTTTTAGATAGCGTACGGACTTTCAACATGTAAAGGAGATAATTTCCAATTGTTTTGGCATTTGCCATGATGATAAATAAAAGTTAAGGGCAATAGTCATATCATGTTGAGCTATATCTCTCAAAACCAGTGTCCACATATGATTGATTATATTTTGCATTATTTATCTTACATGTTTACATTGAAAAGATGCATGCAAGTGGAACAGTATGATTAGAACAAGCTATTTCTATATTTATATGATGTTTACTACAATGTTCTTTGAATTATGGGGGTCTACTCGTGTAATTTCTCAAGAAAATTAGCCAAAAGTTTTTTATTAGAAAAATTAATTGTGTGAAGATACATAGAGATCTAAGTTTTTTAGTGTGGGCAACTCCTTTTTAGAGGATGCAACTATTTTATAATTGTACATAAATATCTTTCATTTTATAAATTAAAAATAAATAACATATAACTTTAAAAAAAAATGGCATCCTCTGAAAATAGCTTGCGTGTTGGTTTTAAAACAAATTTCAAATACTTCTACAAAATTATTTTTTTGAATAAGAGACTTTAGACAAATTTCTCATATCTGTCATGTTTATTGGGGATGGATTTTTAAAAATGAAAGATATAAATGTATAGAAATGTTACCGACAAGTAGCTAGTTTTTTCTTTCAATCACAATACACACAATTAACCAGGAGCACATTTCGTGATCAATAGCAATCTGGACCCATCTGGCTGATTTTGTATGATTCCAAATCGAATTTAAATGGGTTAATAGAATCTTGGGTTTCTTGAGTTTGTTTTTATTTTAGTTTTGATTTCTCAAGTTCTAAATTATGGGTTTTGTTCCTTCAAGATAGTCCAATTATCATAAAAATTAATTGTGTGAAGATATATAAAGGTCTAGATTTTCTAGTGACGCACAACTCATTTTCAGATGATGCAACTATTTTATAATTGTACATAAATGTCTTTCATTTTATAAATTAAAAATAAATAACATATAACTTAAAAAAATGGGCATCCTCTAAAAATAGCTTGCATGTTGGTTTTAAAACAAATTTCAGATACTTTTACAAAATTAGTTTTTTTTTAATAAGAGACTTTAGACAAGTTTCTCATATCTATCATGTTTACTAGGGATGAATATTTAAAAATGAAAGATATAAATGCATAGAAATGTTATCAACAAGTAGCTAGTTTTTTCTTTTAATTACAATACACAATTAAGCAGGAGCACATTTCATGATTAATAGCAATCTAGACCATCCGACTCATTTTGTATGATTCCAAATTGAATTTAAATGGGTTAATATAATCTTTGGCTTCTTGAGTTTGTTTTTATTTTGATTTTGATCTCTCAAGTTTTAAATCATCGGTTTTGTTCCTTCAAAATAGTCCAATTAT